GGGTAGGTTGTATCAGAATGCTAAGAAGACACTATCTGTAAGTAAGAGAGATAATGGTCTTGAAAGCAGGTCCCATGTTGTGGTTTCACGGATCTCTCTCTTCCTTTTTCTTTGGTCAACATTTCTTTAGGGGGGATGGGGGTGTCCCTTGCCCATTTCTATGATGTTGACGCCATCTGATTAGTCGAAAAATGTGCATAAGATGGTGCCCAATAATGTGTTACGTACATAATTGTTATAACATGTAACTGTTACATAAAGATGTTCAAGATAATTATAGATGTTTGTGAAGGATCTGAGAACAATGATGATTTTAGAAATGAAGGTGGTAGTGGTGATAAGTGATGATTTGGGATGGTGTTTCAGTATAAAATTATTAAGAAGACATGCTTCTGCTAGTTGTTTGTAGTTTTTTAAAAATAATGACATCGTTAGTCCTATCTTCCTCTGCTCTGATGAGTCACGAGGGATGTGGGCACCCGCTATCTCGTACTCTAATGGAACCATCTTTAATGTCACCGTGAAGTTCCGAAATGGTGGGCACAGAGAGATATTACGGGGACCATGTTAATATTAGCCTATTCTAGCGGGCCAAGACAAGTGAAGAGAGGACCTTAGTAGGTACACAGTACAGTGGCAGATATGTTGGGGATTTCATAAGGGGGTTGTAGGTAGCGAGTTAACAACTGGGTTATAATCTTAATAAAAAACAATATACAATAGTAATTAACAGAGCGGACGATTCAGACCAGGGAGTACGTAGGAACAGGACACCAGAGGCGTATCTGTGTACCAAGAAGTGAAAGGGACACAAGCAAGGAATCCTTTGAATCACGGCATATTGTGTCGTGACGCGGGGGAATCAAGCGCTTATCAAAATAATGAAATCAAAGAAACAGACGTGTTTCCTTCAGTTGGACAATCTTTATCGATTTTTCCAACATCTTTTAGATACATTTTAAAAGCACATTTCAGTGTGAATCTTACTTGGAAACAAACGAAATGAAAAGTTGGTCAAATTAAGGCACAAAAATGAAAGTAACAGTGTTTACATGAACACCTAAACTTTGGGAGTCATCAAACGTTGGCAGCCATTTTCTTGCTAATTTTACCTCTGACACCAGGCAACCCCCGCCTCTCTTTCATTTACAAATGTTTCGACTTCTTTTCAAGACAGACGGGTATTTTTTTTTTTTATCAAACGCAATACACATGTACCAATTTAAAATGCTACCAATTATTGCGTGTGCCCAAAAATTGACGAGCTGTTTATTCCACCGTGTCGTGACACAATTGAAAGATCCTCTAGTTAAATTTATTTATATATATATAATTAGTGGCGTCAGTGGCCTAGTGGTTAGGCTCTCGGTCTCGTAACCGTAAGGT